CAAATTGTGTCCACTGTTTGTCATCACTAGTGTTCATATGGTATGTCTTGAGGACATCGCTAGCAATGAGATTGTATTTATCGACACATATAGTGATGGATGGCTGCGATGTTTGGACGCCGTATTCCTCGTGTTTTACATCAGTTATCGTTTCTTTTGAGATGAATTTTGCGGTCAATTCACACATTTGTTTTAAACATATCGACAAACATATTATATACACAGTTGTGTTATAAAAATGTCGTTTTAATAGTAGACTCAAGTCCCTAATATATGGCATTATTTATAATATGTTATTATATAATTATATTAAAATGAAAATGTACTGTATGTGTACTGGTATAATCTGTACGATTTTAAATAATATTACAATGTATTGTAGTTTATATATTATTTACGAGAAGCAAATTGTAATGTAATTTAGACATCTTATACATCTTAATTGTATTATGTTAATGCATTATTATGTTATGCAAACAACATATTATGTTAATATTTTGTCAAAGTTTTTACCATAACTAATTTTTAATATAAAAAAGTATTGATTGCAATTAATGCAATATACTGTACTAAAATTTAGTAACTAAATTTTGTTTGTAATTTGCAATAAATATTTTTATAGATTTTTTGGATTCTTTGTCAAAATTAATACATTATATATTCGTATTTGCTTTATTACAATATTTATTTTAATAGTACTCAATAAAAATTAACGATAACATTTTAGGGTAATATTTTTACAAAAAATGTCGGTATAATTATAAAAACTTAATATAAATTGTTTTTCAATAAATGTATAATAACAAAGATTTTGTAGATTTTGTAACCATTTCTTTTTTATTGACATGCAATATAATTAATTTACATAGTACAGTACATGTACATAATACAAAGCATTCAAGAGTTTTAATGAATAACATTACATTAACTGTAATAAATAGTTAAATATTATAATACAATAAGCTTGAGCATTTTATGTGGCCTTGTCTTCAAAATGATTCATGATAGAATCGGGCGCACATTTAACCTCGGTACATTTCTCGCCGCAATTATTATTAATATTACAATGTTTAATGAATTTAATGTTATAAACGGCAATATTGCGTAGTGTATCCTTGGTACTTTCGTTGCCGGTCTGTTAAACAATACAAACAATTATCACTATGCGCTAAATAAATATACCATACCTGGTCAATATATTCAATGCGGTAGTTTAGCAATAGATGAGCTAATAAGTGCTTGAGTTGGAAAAACGCAGATTTCATGCCTAAATATGTAGACAGTTGAATAAAATAATATTACCAACATGATAATTAACAAACTAAATTAACTAACAAAATAAAAAGCACATGATCACTACTAACCTATACAATTACGTGGGCCGTTGGCAAAGGGCATAAACGCCTTGGGCGTAATTAAATGCTGATGGCCGGGCAAAAACCTATCCGGGTTAAAAATCATTGGCTCCGGGAAGTAGTCCGGGTCCGTATGAACCACTACGGCCAACACAGACACTATGGAGCCTTTGGGCAGCAATACCGGGCCATACATATCAGTGCAGAGTTGAAAGTCCCGTTTGACCACCCGTTCAAACCTCGGGAAAGGAGTGTTTAGCCGTAGGGTCTCCTTAATGAACGCCTCGGTGTAGTGAAGCTCACGCAGGGTTTCCCAATTGATCCGGTGTTGGCACCCGATCTTAGCGCTTACTTCATGGTAGGCCCGCTTCTGGATGTCCGGGTGTTGTGCCAAACACTGTATGCAATTGGTTAGTGTTGTGGCCATGGATTCAGTGGCGGCCATTAGGACTCGATGTCTATCAAAAGTAAAGTTACATGACTCCATATTTTACAAGAAAAAATGACCTCAATTATCGTATGGGGGCTTATTTTAATGCAAAATTTATCTAAATCATTTGAGTAATTTATTATTTGCCACCACGTTATGATAACTAAATAATTATTGGAAATGGTATTAATTAAAATATCACATACGATTAAAGTAATGCACTTATTTTATTTCATTCATTCGCTTATAACAAATCATTAAATTGTAAATATAATCATTGAATACATTAGAAACAAAACTAATTGTATCACAATTATTTACAAATACAATAGTAAATCAGTAGCCATCAGGGGGCGTAGGTTGGCCTGGTGGTGGAGCGTGCTCAACCTGTAGCATAAAGTCGTGATAGTCAGCGTAGGGATCGTAGGGTTCCGGTGCGGCGTTCACTGCGCTCAAGTAACCGGCAATGGCGGCGACGGACAGCGCCATAATGCACGTCCACGTCCAGCTAAGTGGCATTGTTCACGTTTCTGTACCAACTGGTTAGTATTTAGTATATATTTTGTATTGTGGTTAAACTATAGTTAAATTAATACATTAAAACATACCTTGTATAATATGGAGGTAATAATAATTATTAGTTTTTATAAGTATAATAAATAAATGACTAAATGGCTCACTATTAACAGCACATATGGTTTATATGAATTAATAAAAGTAGTTATAATTTTTTTAAATTATTATAGTATTTATTAAATGTTAGAGAGAGAGAGAGAGAGAGAGAGAGAAAGAGAGAGAGAAAGAGAGACTATCGGGACGCCACATAATGATAACTTTTATAACCTTTAAATATAAATTGATAATTGTTGCTGAATTGATTCTAAAATATTACCAAACAAATATGTAATAACCAATTGAGCTGGGTTTTATTTTTACATGGTATGCACAACACCAACATAACTTTAAATTATGTAAAATATTGATATAAGTATATAAAGTTTTATAAACATAAACATAATGTTTTACATAAGTCAGTGTTAATATTATGTTGATATTTCTAAACTGTATAAAGCCAACTTCTTCCAAAGATTGCGTGAGTATTCACATGAAAATTATTGGATGCAGCTAGAATTCTGAAATTATTTTTATAATTTCAGTTGACATCTGTAGGCATCAGAATCCAAGTTTCATCAAGATCGGATGAATATTTTTTGAACAGGAATTTTTTAAAGTATGTCAGTCGGAATTATTAAAAAAAATTTACAACAAAATATTTGACAAAAAATTATCACATTTTTAAAGTGAAAATATTTTTACTAAAAATGTGTTTGAAGTGATTATTTGGTTATTGGGATTCAGTATTGGTTTAGTGTAGATATCGTGACATCAATTATAACGGGAATCAATTGCGAACCCACAGAACACAGGCCGCCAATCGGGTAAATCACTGAGTTTTGTGTGGCCACAGTTGGGGTAGCGGTCAGTGTTGGCCACTGAATAGCATATCGTTATATGCATTAAATAATAAAGATCTCAGAAGAGAAAGGGTTTTAAATTATCTCTATTAGTATTTGAACATGATCAATTTAACTATGCAAAAACGGACTTCTTCCCATAGGAATATATTAAAACGAGTGACAAACTTTGAAAAATTCCTGTTCAAAAAGTATTCATCCGATCTTGATGAAACTTGGATTCTGGTGCCTGGGAATGTCAACACAAATTATGAAACTAATTTCAAAATTCTAGCTGTACGGTTTAATGCTCATGTTAAATATATGTCATTTAACTTAATAATAGAGATTATTGCCGATGATACAGAGGGCTATAACATTACCAATTGCATTTATTTAGTGTCGAGTGTGTAACCTGTTTTAAAAAATACTGGCATGTAACTTTTAAAATAATATATAATATACGATATTATTAACTTTAATTACCTTAGGTTGTGTATTCGCCGGACACGTGTATTATGGATACGAATGTTAACATTGACAGTACAGGCGGTTATCGGTGCGCTTATTTGGTTAATAATTAGTGTAAAATATCTTTTAAGCTCTAATTTAATAAATAATGTTTTTATAAAATTTGCGGCCATTAATGCATTTACACCAAACCATAGGCCGAGAATACTCGACATATGGATAAGATATGTAGTGAATGGAAATTTTAATGATATTACAAAAATAATTGTTGGAATTGAAATTGGCTTTATATACATTATAAAGGTATTGTTAAATAATTGATTGTGACCTTGCTGAGATATTTTTAAATAATAATATTTAACGCAATCGATTTTTGCATTACATTTATCATAGCATTCATCGTAAGTGATGGCTCTGTCCGGGTGTCGGAAATACAAATCACGTAATGTATAGCCGTCTGTATTATTGTTATGCAAATAAATTAAACATGATGAATTTATTCCTAAACCATTGCGCACGTCTTTATTTACAATGCATGTGTATATACAAGAGTCTCGACTTTGACCCTCATCAAAGCAGTTATATTGATTATTATGGATATTATATTTTACAATGGATGCAAGCATATATTCAATATAGACCTCGGTGGTTTGCGATGAATTGACGAGCATGCCCATTTCATCTAACCCATAGTATTGCGATTCGTTTGGCGAATGCATATAAAGCGACAAAAATTGGTTTCGTTTTGGGAAATATTTTTTATTCACATAGATTAATATTGTTTTTAAATCTTTAGTTACTTTGCTACGTCCATTAGCGTAATTACCATGATGATCATTTGGGCGTTTGTCACTGCCTATTATCGATTGGGTGAATGTAATGCAATAGCTATAGTAATCAATGGACACATAAAGATTGGTACAGTTTGTATAAGATATATCACTGTTTCGCTCAATACGCAAAAAACATTGAAACCAATCGTCAATTGGTATAAATTTGTCAAATTGTTCGCCAATTGAGATATTATTGAATTGATGTTCAAATTGTGTCCACTGTTTGTCATCACTAGTGTTGAGATGGTATGTCTTGAGGACATCGCTAGCAATGAGATTGTATTTATCGACACATATAGTGATGGATGGCTGCGATGTTTGGGCGCCGTATTCCTCGTGTTTTACATCAGTTATCGTTTCTTTTGAGATGTATTTTGCGGTCATTTCACACATTTGTTTCAAACATATCGACAAACATATTATATACACAGTTATGCTATAGAAATGCCGTTTTAATAGTGGACTCAAGTCCCTAATATATGGCATTATTTATAATATGCTATTATATAATCATATTAAATTTGAAATAGATGTATACTGGTATAATCTGTACGAGTTTAAATAATATTACAATGTATTGTAGTTTATATATTATTTACAAGAAGCAAATTGTAATGTAATTTAGACATCTTATACATCTTAATTGTATTATGTTAATGCATTATAATGTTATGCAAACAACATATTATATTAATATTTTGTCAAAGTTTTTACCATAACTAATTTTTACTATAAAAGATTATTGATTGCAATTAATGTGATATACTAACATTTAGTAACAAAATGTTGTTTGTAACTTGCAATAAATATCTTTATAGATTTTTTATTATAAAGATGTGGATTCTTTGTCTAAAATAATACAATTGTATTGTATATTATAATACAGGGTGGTTTTTAAGTATGTCTTTTTTAAAAAGCTAATAACTCGTTAACTAAAAGAGATATTTCATTCAAATTTTTTGCATAATATACACAAAAGTATGGGATGATTGAATCAGGTTTTCAAAATTTTACGACATCCATGGGAATCACGTGGAATATCAATGTTTCAAAAATGCCACTTTTCGGGCAATTTTGTCATATTTAATAGATCGCCATTACTATGGATGAAAACATGTTAAGCACACATCCCATACATCCACTTAAATAGTTTAGCAAAGTGTTTTCCATTTTAAGTTAATAATTTGCAACTGTCGCGATTTTCAAAAAACAATGCGACTTTTATTCTGTATATCTGTTTTTAAAAATCGCGCCATTTCTAAATTATTAACTCAAAATGGAAAACACTTTGCTAAACTATTTAAGTGGATGTATGGGATGTGTGCTTAACATGTTTTCATCCATAGTAATGGCGATCTATAAAATATGAAATAATTACCCGAAAAATGGCATTTTTGAAACTTTGGTATTCCACGTGATTCTCATGGATGTCGAAAATTTTGAAAACCTGATTCAATCATCCCATACTTTTGTGTATATTATGCAAAAAATTTGAATGATATATCTCTTCTAGTTAACGAGTTATTAGCTTTTTAAAAAAAGACATACTTAAAAACCACCCCGTAAGTTATAATATATTATATTTTTATCTGCTTTATTACAATATTTATTTTAATGGTACTCAATAAAAATTAACGATAACATTTTAGGGTAATATTTTTACAAAAAATGTTGGTATAATTATAAAAACTAAATATAAATTGTTTTTCAATAACTGGTTAATAACAAAGATTTTGTAGATTTTGTAACCATTTATTTTTTATTGACATGCAATATAATTCATATACATTGTACATGTACATAATACAAAGCATTCAAGAGTTTTAATGAACAACATTACATTAACTGTAATAAATTGTTAAATACTAGCCACCAGCCATTAATTCCCAAGTTCAACGATTTAATTTGCATGACGTTGGTAAAACAAACAAATATTAATATCAATAAATGAAAACAATGAATGTTATTTTATGTTATGGAATGCCAGTGATTCAGGCAATATTGTTACCAATACCACATTCTCTCTCTATAGTTGACAACACGTCACAAACTCTGTTATCCTCTCCCACTCCCACCCCACTATCCCCCTCTATAGTTTTCACTACTGTACCCCTCCCACCCCTCTTATTGTATGAATTTATTGTTTTCCCTTGTATGACATCCAAGTATATTATTCATTGATTATAAATTAATTTATAATACAATAAGCTTGAGCATTTTATGTGGCCTTGTCTTCAAAATAATTCATGATAGAATCGGGCGCACATTTAACCTTGGTACATTTATCGCCGCAATTATT